ATTCATTATACTATTATATAATTACTACGAAGGTATTTAAATCATATTTTATTATTTTATTATTTCAAAACTACATTACCTTCATCTCGGAGATGCAAGTGAGATGTGGTTTATGTAAATCAAACATCTATATGAATACAAGAGACTGATATATCACGTATTATTCTCTCTCTTTTCGCATTATAAATTAATTTGCATAATAATATGTTGAGCGCGCGATATTCTCTCGAAAAATTTTTCAGATATGTTTTCCTTGGAAAAAAAAAGTCGCCGACATGCACGTTCAATTATAGCACGATGATTTCAGATGACCGAGATTAATACGTTCGCGCTATATGCCCGCATTTTATTACCTGTATATCCGAGTGTCTCATTATATGGGCCATGAATAATGTAGCGCTTGGAAATATATCATGGCCGAATGGAATCGCCCGAATTTCCGGAGATAAAATAAAACGCGTCGTATCCATGCTAATCCATGCGCGTCGCATTTTGCCGGTCAATTGCACCTAACAGCCAGACTTGAACAGCGGTTCAATTTTAACGACGACAATGGCAAGAAGGAGTAAGAGAGACGGGGAATGTCGTGATAACAACATCCCTGTTTCGTAATCGAGGAAGCATATGCATCACGCGTGTTTGCCGATTAAATTGCGTTGTCCTGCAAACGGCGATATAACGAGCAATACGTATACCTGTTCCCACATTCCCGCGGGAATGTTTCCATTCGCGAGACGATTCGCGAGGGATAACGATGATTCCCGATCTCTCTTTGACTCGTATCGCAACGATAAGATCCGTAAATGAAGGCGCGATAAACCGCGAAGGGATTGCACGGTTATCGAACAGTCGTAAACCTCCACGATCGTACTGGGAATTCAAGGTTCATGGCAAGGATTCTCAGGCGAGCAAGAAAAGCGTCGGCTACCGGACCGTTCCAAAGAAACGGTCATTCTCGATGGGCGATTAATATGTCTCTATAAGCGTGGAACAGCCGATGGAATTATATGAAATATATATATATATATATATATATATATATATATATATATTCGTGCTCGGTAAAATTAAACGTCTAGTTTTATGATTGCATCCATTATACGTTTATGTTTCGAATTTTATCGTGCATTAGTGATGTAAATGCAAATTTTATGGGCGGAGAATCGCGTATGTTATTAATTTTTATATCTCCCTGAAAGATATCGTGGAGATCATATGTATCTTGATTTATCCCTAATATTTTAAGGAAAAGGACTTACGTCTTAGTAGTGGTTTAAATATTTAATTTTTCTTACCCCCCTATCCCCTCCTCTTTCTTAAATTTACATAATGTTGAGTATGCAAAATACTATTTGATATTTTCACGCCAGGAAAGCGAAATTTTATACTGCAACGAAGATAATTTAACTCGCTGGAACGAGAAAATAGTAACTTGGAGCTTCTCTAAATTGCATAGAATTTTTAGTCGCAATATTTTCACGCGAGAAGAGCGAGGGAAAGAATATCTGTCAGAGATCTAATGTAGTTAACATTTAGTTGATAGGAGGATATATCTCTGACGTAACTCGTCAAATTCAAAAAGGCCCAGTAGTAAAAGACCGGTATTAATAACGCATGTTTCACAAAATGCCCTTAATGTAAACTATAGCAATGATGCGATGCTGTTGAAAATTCCCAGGGAATTGTACTCTCTTCTCCTTTTCTTCCTCCCGTTGACTTTTAATTCCATTTTTTTTTTCTATAAACATCCTCCGTTTCCTACAAACAACTGAATAATCGATAGTTATCGTAGTCTTGCCTCGGCGGATGTTGAATTTTAATAACATCGGTTTTCAAATCTCCGACGAATGAATAGGCATCAGACTCTTTGTCGGAAGAAACAGTATTATAAAGACGATCGACAATCGAGAGAAAAGAATTTTCTCGAACCCATCGTAGTGATACGACGAAACAAAATCGGTGTTGTCAGACATTTGAGAAAAAGAATCTGGGAAATTTTACACAGGAGACAAAGTTGAAAAAGAGAGAAAATTTTGAAAAATTTTGCTGAATTATAGTCACAATAAATGGGAAAGATGATTATTAACTTCAATATATTACTCGAATCATAAGTTTACTTAATTTCAAACAGAACGAAATGTAATTCTTTTCATTAGCGTATACATATCGGCCACTTTATCTCGCCTTCCTTTCGCGCTCCCCGCGAGATGTTGTAATTACATTTAGTACCTTATCTCTCGCGATCTCGGTCGGGCAAGGAGAGTTTTTGCGCGTTGAAAAAAACTCGAGAAAAAATTTTTTTCAATTGTATCCCTCGTTGTAACAACTTGACGCGCCAGCGTGCGCCACACGACACCCGTTAGACTATCGCCGAGAGGAGAATGACATAAGACATTCCCGTTCTGACTCGGGCGCCATATGACCGTCTCTGTCGCAAGCTCTGTCCTCTCTCCTACCCCTCTTTTCCGCCATGTTCCCCCCGGCGGCCCCCCCGTCCCCGCGCCGCCATCCACTACATTCTACTACCGTCATTCCTTGCCCTCTCGTCTCACCGGTCCGCCACCTACTACCACCCCCGCACTCTCCCACCACGAGCGTCACTACTACTAGCGTACTCCGACCAACACATCGGCATTGTTACCGGCCCGAGAGCCATTGTCGGAAGCGAGAGGGAAAATAGGAAGGAGAAAGAGAGCCGCGGAGAACGAGAGACCGAGAGGGGGAGATTACGTGGGAAGGAGGAAAAGAGGGGACAAAGAAGTCACGAGAAGAGATGAGCAAGATGGAGGAACAAGGAGGCGGTATACGAGGACGACGAGATGAGGTGAAGGGAACGAGATGGAGAGAGGAGACAGAGGGAGAGAGAAAGATAGAGAGGGGGAGAGAGAAAGAAGCAACCAGGCACAGGCATAGCATAGCGTAGCATGGCACGGCATATCCATAGACATATACACTGTGTCTATGGGCATATCGACGAGATCCGACAACGACCGAACACCACCGAGCACAGCCGACTCGGACCCTGCGCGCTCAACCCAAACCCGAGAAAGCATAGTTGCATTTAAACTGCCATCCCACTCGGGAGGTCTCTCTCTTCCTGAGTCCTGAGGACGACCTTAGGACGACTTACGTACATACGTAAATCGCTACGCGTATTGATACGTCGTTGTGTTTCCGTCACGTCTCTACGCTTCGTTTCTTATTAAAAAAAATAAAGCAGAAGAGAGAGAGAAGAACCCAGAAACGGTCCGGGGGTTGCGATGACCCACAGGTCGGGACACACGGTCTGACGTCAGGAGCGCTTTAACTTGTTGGATTCGACGCGAGTGCGACGCGAAAGTGAGCCGGTCCGCCGCGGCTTCGACCTGGTTCGACCTGGGGAGAGGGGAACGCGGAGGTGTCGGACGTCGACATCGTGGAAGATCTGACAACAGACAGATGGATAGACAGCAGACGATGCCCCTCTGATCATTGTCGCCGTTCGTCGTCGTCGTCGTCGTTGCTCCCGGATGGATACCAAGGGCACCGGGATCTTTTGTCCGGGATTTTCCGGTAGCGCGACGCGTCACTTCCGTCACGCGTTCCTTCCTCTGTCGCGGGTTCCGTCGTCATGTTCGCGGTTCTCATCGTTTGTCATCTAGCGTCACTGTTCCTAGCTCGCTTCTTTCGAGAATAGGATTCTTTCGCGTTCAGTCATATGACCAGGCTATCTCGCAAGTTCCGCTTCGTTCACTGGCAGCCAGCCGCGATTATTTTTTGCGCCAAGTTAAGATCACGAACGTTTGACATAAAAAAGAAGCTAGGTGACATAATGATTTTGTGGCAATTATGATATTTTTGATACACGATGTAAATTTCTTTAGTTCTATTTTTGAGTCTTAATTTAATCAACTGCAAGAATCGGATTCACCTCTTGAATTCGAAGTCAATTTTCGAAACTCTAAACGCTTCAGACATGCTGCAATCAATGACGCTATCCACAAATTGAGTGCATAATTCTGAAGATCTCAATAAGTTTTATACTATAAGAGATCTTGATAGGCATGATAGGCGTACTTACGAATGTGTCTCGTTTATAGTGAAATTAAACTCTTGCCTGGTCTTTTACCAATTTATCGGTATCTGTTGAAAACTGTCATGACAGTAATAAATAACGACGACACCAAAATGCAGCAAATTAGATAAATTATTTAAAGCAGCGACATTTTGACATCATTTAATTCATCGCTGACATTGGAATACGTTCGGAAATTTTTGCCCCTGAGAAAATCTCGGCTCATGAATTATTTGAAAGATTGCGTGCATACGTCCGAGAAAATCTATGGTATATATATTTTATTTCGACAAGTTTAGAGATTTGAGATTGTTATGTTATCGTCAATCGAAGTATTATTCTCATCACATTTGAGAGTGAATACATGATTGAGCTTAAACTGAGCGAGTCAAAGTTCAGTTCTGAACTCGGTGTTCTCGAACCCGGAGCTGGATTATATTAAAGGTTGCGGAGGGCATCATGCGCTCGCGGGAAGAGTTATAAGACCGTTGAGAAGTTTCAGCGAGTCCATTCGCGGTCGACGATGGGTGTCCGCACTTTTGACGTGTAACGTAACGCGGAGTGATGTGAGATTTTTTTGTGACGGCAAGCGAGAAGAGAAATTGCGCGCAACACGACGAGACGTCCGTAAATTGATATATTATCATTCATCAAATTTAAATTTGAAAAAACGCACAAATGCCAAGTAACTATATTTACTAATATTTAACTATGGCTCATAACATCTTATACACATATTTTTCGTCAATTATAAAGAACACCTTTTATTTCTCTCTTTCTCTCTCTCTCGTATAAATTTTTAATAAATTTTTAAAAAATTTAAATATTAATAAAAAAATTCATACATGATTAGTGATCGATAATATGTTTAATTAAATTTTGAATGCATCTATTACTATTATTCTTCTCGAACGAAAAAATATTTATATCGAAATATCGCTTTATTCCAACGTATGAAGTGAAAATGTGGAAATATTTGGGCCCGTCGAAGTGATCGGTCAAGCGTAATGCAGCTCGGTGTTAACAGTGTGTCGCTCGAAATGCCAAATATACATACATACTAATACTAGGTGCGGTTAACGAGACACTCGTCGCGTCGTTGATCAATAAGATTTGCCGCGGACGATAGATCGCGTACGAAAAAGCGGGAAATTCCCGTCCGCGCATCAGAGTGACACGTCCTCAAATTTGATTTCTGACGAAGCCAACAATAATTGTCAATCGAACCGGCGAGTATAGACCTACCTATCTACACGTCACAGAAAATCTATCCACACATCCTGCGAACGCGCTCGATCTTTTTCAAATTTTTTTTTTTTTTTTTTCGGGAGGCTGTAATTAATCATTCTGCCAATTAATGTAATCAATCTAGATGTCAACGCGTTATTTCGCGTCCCCTTGTTGCTTCCGCTTTTTATTTTTTTTCCCTTTGTATTCGTACATGTAAAGCGTCAAAGCGTCATCGCGAGAAAGAGAGGTTGCCTGGGAAATTGGTTTCGCAAGAGAGAATGGCTCGACCGGTGACTTTGGAATCGAAGTTTGGAAATGCTTTGTTCCCGCTAAAAAAGGTGTTTGAAAAAGAGAGGGTTCTGCGCGGATCGATATATCGGCTTGACTCTCATCCCCTCCTGTCCTCGCCCCTCTACTCCCGGGATGATGTTTCTCCCAGATATCGGTGTGAACAAATATATCCGGTATATAACGAGTATATTCATTGATGAAGCGATTCTCGCTTAAACTGAACTCGCTTTTATGTCGTAGATTAATATCTATCTTGAATCACGAAATCTTTGTAAGGATTGAAACGTGCAAAATAACAGCTTAATTAATTAAACACCGACGAATGGCGACGAATTGAATCGTCGCGTTTCGATCGTCGAATTCATTGTACAACTGAATTATTTAACGACATGTTAATATATGCTTCTGTGTGTATCGCTCGAGAGTCTCGCTTCGCATGCCAAATCACGATTCGTAATTAACGTAATGAAACATGAAACTGGGGAAGAACCGCTTGAAGAGAGCTAATGAATAGTGATTAGGAGCCTAACGCTTGCGACTCGCTTAAACAATCGAGCTCTGTGTTGCGGAAATTAAGCAAGATTTCCCAACGGCGGGTGGAAAACCGTGGCCGTTCCCGAGAATGAATCATCGTGACGCAATGTTTCGTAACCCGCGGCTCGTAAAATTATCCGCGACCTTCCATTCTCATTTATCTCTCGCATTATCGAATCACCGTCCCTTCGGCATTCGCGCTTTCAAAAAATTCTCCCCTTTCCTGGGCTACTCTCGGCAGCAAAGTAAAGCGATGTAACGCCGCCGCCGACTTGTTGCATCGCAAAACTTTGCAAACCGAAATCTCTCGGCGCGCGCGGCCTCGTAAATTCGCAATAACCCGCGGAATTAACGCGTATTCCGCGTCGATGTCGCGATGTGCCCGTAATTATATGCGAAACTCGCCGGGAGGGGATTACATAACCAGTGCGTACAATCGACGAAAACATCTTCGCGACATTTCACGTCGAGTAGTATAAGCTGGAGATATCGGAGCTCAAGTTGAAATAAAATTAATCGGTGCACGCGAGTGTGATTATAAATTCGAGTGTTAAAACCGCTATCGAGTTCAAACGAACCAACGATATTTATTTATAATCCTTCAAAGGAGCTTCGCTTTCATCTCCAACATTTGCGCTATTTTTAACTCAGCTTTCTTGAATATTCCTTTTTCCACGGTTTCCTTTTGATGACACAACTTTTTCAATAACGCCTCGATGACGTCGTATCTCGAGAAATGCAGGAAGTAGAGTGGGAAGGAAATTTTTTTTACATGTACAAATGTATGACATTCGCGATTTTGACGAAACTATAGAATAACGGAGTATGGATTGTTCTCGTTCTGGATTTATTATTGCCGTACGACAAACGGCTATGATTCTCTTTGAGGTCTTTATTATCAAGTAAGGAAAGCACTTGAGGAGACACAGTTATTGAAACTCGCGACGACCCGATAGAGAAACAAATTTACTGAATTACTTTTAGACGCAAATGCCCTTTGAAGTCGGAAAGTGCCTGCTTATTTTACAGTTATAGAAGAAAGCTTGCGGAAATTTACAGACAATAGCCACGATAACTATAACAATGGCAATATTTATTCAACATTGCTGTATACATAGCTATTACTATCTCGTATTAAAACCACAATCGTGCTTTTGTTTCGCATGTCTGGAGTTCTCTGACATTTAAAATTCATGAACGAGGGGGGCTCATATTCGCCATATAAATCTCGCAAGTTTCTCTTTAAAACTTCAAACTCTTTCGCGGTCTCTACAATTCTGCATTCATTTCGATTCGCGACCGCAATTATTGCGCAGCAAGCATTTCGTCCTTTCATTCCGCGTCATCCGGTATTAACCGGAAGTGTAACGTCAATTCCTACCATTACAAACGTAATCATTTGCAAAAGCGTGCGCGCACAGTGGCGGCTTTTCCTACATTTATCTATCTCGAATACGTCGAAAACATTGCGTGCATTCGGTATTCGCGGTTTTTCGCGGTTTCTCGACGTGTCGCCGGCAAAACAATGAACCCATCCCGAGTGACGAAAGAAATTCGAGAACCAAGATTCGTCCACGTCGGAAGCGTCGCAGTGTTTTCAGCCGAGGAGGAAGCGTCTATCGATCAGCAGCTCGACCCGAAAAGGTAAGTAGGCGAGCACCATGGTTACCGTTATCTCCCTAGATCGTCTCTAACTTTTAATTTGCCGCGATAAATTCAGCTGTATTTGTATATTCCGATGGCGGATAAACTTGCATTAGGGGAGGAATAACACTGTTTAACGAAATTAAAGCAAACGGCTCGTATAAACGCGGTGTTCTCGGCCTGTACAATTTAATTATTATAAATGAAACGTGTGCTCCAATAGCTATATTTATATAGAACAGTTGTCAGTTCGATCCAATCGGAATACGTATATGCGAAATATCACCATCTACCGCTTCCTGTATATATTTCGACGTTCGGAAATTTGAATTCGGGCGAATGCAAAAGGCGCATGTTGCGCTATGCAACGGTGATTCGGATGCTGGGAACGCGAAAGGGCATTTTGGGAAAGATTTGCATGAAGATGGAAGGCAATGCGGTTTGCGAATTAAATTGAATTTGCTTCCGGAAAAAGAAAGAAAAGGGGATTTAAGGCGCGTTGAAAGCAGCGTGGCAAACTGGCAACTTGGAATTAATGCAAATTAACGTTTGCGCTCGCGCGCGACGTTACATCTGGGAAAAGAAGAGATACACGACACCAAAAACTATACAACTGCGCAAATGTCAGACAGGGGAGCCTAATTAACCTAAGTATGTATACCGTGGCACATTCCTCATGAGGAATACGCGTGTTACATCGTTAATTATTAATTAACGCGCAATATGAAAATTATAATGCACCGATATGCGCACAATAGATGAAAAGATTATATATATATATATATATATATATATATATATATATATATATATTTGTTATTCTAAAAATTTTTGTTACCCTTTCTGGTTAAATCTTAATTATACTACCGGGTTGTGCACCGCGCATGAACTCCCGTCGTTGTTGTATCACGAAAAGAGTATCACGGCTGCATGAATTATTGAGTGAAAAAACGTTATTTGCGGGAAATTACATTCTAAGCACGATGCATGCTGAAGATTAAAATCCAGTGTAAAAGCTGCGTACTACCTTTATCAGCGTTGTTTATGCCGGCGTAACTTTCCGCGGTGTACAACGTGCATAAATATCTCCGTTAAACTCAGGCTGCAAGATTAAAAACTTTTCCCCGCCACGCGCACCGGAGCCCTTTCTGCATAAAATTCTAGCAAATTTACAATTAAATTTCACAACCGCGGTAATAAAGTAAATAACCGCGCCACCTTTCCATGCAAATTGTTGAGCGCGAACCTTCTTCGCGCGGGAGTAACGCGATTATCGCCATACATCGTCACACGGAAATTCGCCGATTGTGTTGAGGAGGGAGGAAGTAAAAGAAAAATATAAATCTCTCGAGAGAGAGATTCTATCTTTCGAGCGAGGTAAGAATACTCGCCGGGAAAATCGATCTTTCGCTATTGGGATTATTTTACGGAGTACGCGCGCGCAACCGTTCGTAAAATAATAATTCCTCGAGATATCTCGAAAGGGGGAGGGGGAGGGAGGAAAGATGGTCGCGGGGCGAGGGGGGGAGAGGCCCCCAAGATCGATCTGTCGATGCTATTGCTGAGGGTTATTTCGCGTAGCGCGGCCGCGCTATCAGCTGCGTACGCGAAATGTGGCAGGAATTCGAATCCGCTCCCCTTCCCATTCAACTTCCTCCGGCGCGGTCGGTCCACGAGTTACGACCAGCCGGCCGTTGCTGCAGGGCTGCAGAAACGAGAAACGACAGCACCCCACGGGAAATTGTATCGACGCGCGCCACCATTCGCGAGCAAATCGATTTCTTTTTACAGTTTCGAGGAAGGAACAGCGATTATTGCGCAGCTGCCTCTCTCGCGACTCGCGAGCTGGGACGAATGTCCTTCGCGACAGTGTGCTCCGAATGAAAAAGCGGACGTTAGCTTTATTTTATATATCTGCGTTTTTTTTTAAAAAGTAAATTTTATCTAATTAATTAATGGTAGAAATTGATAGTATAAATTAATTATATAAAAAAATTAATCTGCTGTAAATTAATTATATAAAAAAATTAATCTGCTGTAAATTAATTATATAAAAAAATTAGTCTGCTGTAAATGAATTATATAAAAAAATTAATTTGCTATAAATTAATTATATAAAAAAATTAATCTGCTATAAATTAATTATATAAAAAAATTAATTTGCTCGGAATATTTTTACAAATATGCAGAGAGAATCGAATATCGTAAAAATGCTAAGAATGCTACAATGTATATCTATATATATATATATTTTTTAAAGAGTTGTGCTTGATAACAGCGTCGGACTTTATTACTTACAGTTTGATGAAGGTGATAATCTCAAACTGTGCATGTACGTTTTATTACGAACGCCTGTTCTGCAGCTTGTGCTAGTGACTTGATGACGCAAGTCTGAGTCACCGTATGTATAGAGCGTACGTAAACATACATTGTGAATATGACATAGTTGAGCCGTCGAGCATAATCCCAACGCGCGGATTTTTCACATCATACAATAACTTGGTAAACTAGACTTATATTCTTACTTCGATAATAGACTCTCTTCGATAACCGACGTGTTTTAAGTGTTTTATTAATATCTTAAATTTTAATATAAAAAATAATATCGTAATGTCTATTTAAAGATTAAAATTAATTAAAGATCGCCCAAAGTGCGCCATTATTAAAATTCGATGATAATTCATGTATATCATAATCGTCAGTTGTAAACCACAAAATTGTGGTTTTACGTGTACTTGGTGTTTACTCTTTTCTGTTATGCAAATTTGTACAAGTATTCTCGATATTCTTATAAAATCGAACCTGCAAAGAGCGTTCAAGTTAAGTATAGAACTCAAATATACACGTAAGATATTTAAATTATTATAGCAAAGTAATCAAAAGTCGTTTGGCGTATATTTTATGATGTAGAATTTCTGATAAGAAATCAATTTTGGAATGGAAAATTGCACCATCTTTTTACGCGCGATTGCGTAAATAACGATATCGCGTGCAAATAATGGTACACGAATATTTAAGTGTGAACCGACCAAGTCATTATGAAAACAACAAGCGCGTATAAGCAAAAAGAACCTTTGACTAATGTAGCATCGATAATTTAACGGAAAGGTAATAATGTGTCGTATTTTATTAGTCGCCTCGTTTTCATGTTATTCGTATAATTACTCGAGCTATCGTTTCAGCGAATAATTCGCATCTGCTACCGCAAATAGTTATTGCATCGCAAATGAATGCAAAAATCGAACGATTAGCCGCGGATGTATTGTTCGTCGACGCATCACATAAAGACTCTAAATTTTCCGTAACCTTAATTACTTTTATTGTACTTGAATGTTCAACGCTATTGTTCGACGCTAATTTTGATGATTAATTAAATTTTCTCTCTCCTCCCTTTTTCTCCAATTTGAGGAGAAAAGAGAAAATAATTTATCTAATATAGTGTACTTTAATTTCATTTTAAGGGATGTTAAAAATTACTATTTACAACTATTAAATTACTTTTATAATTTTAGGCATTGATAATGTTTTGATTTGCAATTTGAATGTATCTCTCGTGATGATACGTCATTTTAATTAAATTTAGATATTTCCATATTCGCATTGTTGTTAATAGGTATATAATTCTAAAATTTCTTTGTGGAAATTTATAAATTAAAATCAAAGTATTAATACAAGCGAACGTATTAGAGATTCATAGATGTGTTTCTATATGCAAATTACGATTCGTGTAAGCTCGGATTTATTCAATGTGCATTGTTATTAATTTATCTAATATAGTGTATTTTAATTTTATTTTAAGGGATGTTAAAAATTACTATTTACAACTATTAAATTACTTTTATAATTTTAGGCATTGATAATGTTTTGATTTGCAATTTGAATGTATCTCTCGTGATGGTACGTCATTTTAATTAAATTTAGATATTTCCATATTCGCATTGTTGTTAATAGGTATATAATTCTAAAATTTCTTTGTGGAAATTTATAAATTAAAATCAAAGTAAAATTTATAAATTAAAATCAAAATACAAGCAATGTATTAGAGATTCATAGATGTGTTTCTATATGCAAACTACGATCCGTGTAAGCTCGGATTTATCCAATGTGCATAGACGTGCGCGCGTGCGCGACTCAATCGGGCTGGAGAAGGCATTATGCTAGGTAGTCAGGCTCTAGCACGCTTTGTCATTATTCGTGAGAACCCTATCAATTCGACTGGAAGATTGAATAAGAGGAAAAACACGGTGCGATGAGGCGCGCGCCCGCGCCTCTTTTCATCGTTATCGAGAGACCGACAAAAGATATTTGCGAAAAAGAGGAAGAGAAACTACACATACACACACACACACACACACACACACACACACACACACACACACACACACACACACACATACATTGTCCCATCTAAATTGAATCTCTCTTTCTTTTTTTCTCGCCTTCGCTATCGTTTGCGTTTCCTCGATCTATCCGAGAGTCGATGGAGAGAGACTCTTATTACGGTTCTATCTCATGAATTGTCACATATGTATACACGACAATGACTGGCCCCGGATATCCGATCCGATTTTCAATTCGCCGATCGTTCGCCTAATTTTCACCGACTTTTATTAGAACGTTTAACCTTTCCGACTTGCACACGCGAGATTATCGCGAATGACGGAGTCACGCGAAATTAATCGAATCGAATCGAATCGAATTCCAGAACGTAATATGCACGAAGGATTCACCGTAAGAGATGAAAAAAAATCGTTCCATCAAGGGAAAGAACATTTGAGCTATTAAAATTTTTCCGTTCCATTCATGAATGTGATTTTTATCGTGTAACGCGTTATTGTTTTCCAATCAGATTCATTCAAGATCAGCCAAACACGGAATTACGGGAGATTAAATCTCGGATTTCTTTTATTTTCGGCTTTCGAAAATATCGAGAAACAACAAATCAAAACAGATATGTAAAAAAATAGAATTATAAATTACAGCTATGTGTGTACATTTTT